GGTGCAATGGGGTGGTATGCAATACTTATTATACATGTACCTACTATTAACTATAAATCTTGTTTTAATGTTACGTACCCGATGTTTTATTTTTTGTATCACTGTCTGTGATTGTAGATTTAGACAAGTAAAATTGATAATAAACATACTCCCGGACATATAATTCGATCCAACTAGCAAACATAGAAAATTCTAGAGTTTTTTCCTCTTTATAGTTTTTTACAAAATAGGGTTTTATGTTTTTATAAAATTTATTTTTATTTTTATAAGATTTGTGTAAAAAAGAAGAAATTGTGGAGTTACTTCAATTATTACTATTTTAATATATAATGAAATAAAATACAATGAATTACGTACTTCTCATCATATACAAAATTATAATAATTATACAATAAAAAATATTACACAGACCTTTCGACCTTGTCACTATATTTAGTGTATTTCTGTCGCTATAATTGAAAATTTAAAATTCCGTCAGGCGTGAGAGTCGTGGTCCAGTTACACGTAACACGAGCTGGTATCTTAAGATGTGGCCTCGGATGTCAGTTCAGTGTGGCGCTTTAATTATTTAAGGCTTAATAATAGAGTTGTCTTTAAAGTGTCGATGAAATGTCCGGGTATATCATTTCATTGTCCGGGATACATGTTTTCGGATACCTTTTTTTTTATTTTATTAATATAAAGATCGGATTTTGAAAAAAATTCTTCGATCCGGCTGGATTTAATTTGGAATGGAAAAATTACAACATCTTTTTTTTATTAAGGAAAACTTGAGAAGTAACACGTTATGTAAATAAGAATTACATGCCAGCAAACTAAATTCTGTCTGATTTGTATAAAAAGCTGCTATAACTCACATCAAAAACTAACAATTAGAAACAATTTATTATTTTCCAGTATGATAAATATAATGAGGTAACACTTCAACAAAAATGGAATTATGTATTAACATTTTTATTACGTAGTTATTTTTGTTATGTAACTTAATTTTAAACTTAATAAAGAGATTAATTTGCCACTAAAGGAATTTTAACTTTCTCCACAATACCCTTGATTCAAGGTGTCTACTTAATTTACATATTGTATAAATATAATATAGATAACAATAATAATAAAGAAGAACACTTAAATAAGACGAATAAAATATTTATTTAGTTCATTTATTTAATTCTTAATTTTGTATAAAGAAAAGCTGCATACTAATAGAAATAGATATATATTTATTCTTATACTTATTTCTTTTCCTTTTAGAGGCTAAAAAATGTAATAATGTAATGTATGTAAATCGTATGTCTGGGAACCCACGGTTCAGGCTTGCCTAGTGTGGGGACCGTAGTAAATATGAAATTGTAAACATTTTCTAACAAATAAATTTTATTAAATTTTTATGCAAACGATTTTCAGGACAATCGTTTTAAATATGGGTAACGTCATTGTCAATTTTTTTGCTTTAGAAAAGCATGTTAATACAACAGTCAAGAAAAACTACTCGTTTATTTAGATCACGAATTTTTTTTTCTTAAACAATTGCTTTCAAATGCTATATTCGGACGCTGTTATAGAAACCTATCACAAACTCGAATTATTTTTTCCGAAATAACGCTTTTTCGAATTTTCATTACACCGGAAACCGAATTATAACGAAACTGTTATTCTTTCAGGATATGTTGAAGTTCATCTGGGCGGAGGGCCTCACCACCAGACTGCGGCCGCTTCTGCGCAGGCCGTAGAAACTAATGGCGCTGAGGTTGTTTCGGGCGTACCGGACGGTTTCCGGAGCGGCGGCATGCGCCCTGGTTGGATCCACACGGGAGGCGTCCGTCCTCGAGCAGACTTACAGGTGCTGTGCGAAAGCCAGGGCACGTGGAGAGCGCCCCACACTAGAGGAGCTAGTGGGGGTTCGGCGCTCCGCCAAGACCGTCGTCCAGGCGGGGTGGGAGGAGGCCCTTCGATCGGCCAGATACGGGGAGCGTTGACCGTTGGACCGTCCAGGCGTTGCTCCCTGTACTAGCCGATTGGAGGAAGAGGCGGCACGGGTCCCTCACCTACCGTCTTGTTGAGGTACTTACCGGACATGACTGTTTCGGTGACTACCTGCACAAGATCGCACGGAGGGAGATGACCCCGGAGTGTCACGATTGCGGCGCTGCTACAGACTCGGCGAGACACACCTTGGAGGTGTGCCCGACCTGGAACCAGCAACGAGAGAGAGGTGGTAGGACGAGATCTCTCACTGCCCAGCATAGTTAGAGCTATGCTGGGAAGCGAGAGGTCATGGCAGGCGATGGTCTCCTTCTGCGAGGACGTGATGTCGCAGAAGGAGACGGCCGAACAGGTCCGCGAAAAGACAGCGCCCTCTCGGACGCACGCGACGGCTCTTCGCCGACCGCCTGCGTCTCATCAGCGGAGGCCAGCAAGGTGCAGGGTTGGGAGAGGAGAGGTTGCCCCTGCATTGCACAGGCCTCCGCCGCCGGTAGATGCTCCAAGTGTTCCGGGGCATTTCCGTGCAGGTCGCCCCCCATGATTAAGGAGGGGATGGTGTAGGGGTCCGCCCAAAGGCGGACCATCACCACCGGAGTCGCGGTAGCATCTGAAAGGGACCCCGCAGCTCCGGCGCCAGGTGCGCGTAGGAACATCGCTAGGTTTTTAGTGGGTATGCTCTTAGGGACCGACATAGTCCCCAGGAAAGAGTCCCACACATCCCCGCCGTCTCCCAGGGGCGGGGAATGCTTAACGCATTTTCCTCACGGTAATAAAAAAATAAAAAAAAAAGATTACATTAAGTTAGGCATTAAAGAAAAAACATTTTCCTCTCAAAATTACTTTCGAGGTTATGAAAATTCAAGCAAACGTTATTTCTGGAAAATGTCAGTTCGGACTAGTGATAGGTAACCCGCTGTTTTTTTTTTAATTTCTAAAAATACATAAATCTTCTTGGAAGCGTTCAAAAGAACAACCGACTTGTCACGAGCTTTCAGTCGTAATTCAAACACAAAATCAACTAATCTTTATTTCATTGAAAAGCAAATTACACTTGAAAACGTCATGTTGGCAAAACTCTACAATTCATTCGTAAGGTAGATTCCCCTAAAAAGAATTAGTAAGAAACTCCAGGGTTTGCTTTTTGTAATTATTTCCGCGAACTTTTGAGGTCGGAAAAAACAAAACTTGTACAAACAAAACTTGTGGTTTAAAGTTTCGATTTTAAACTGCGAAGATCTCAAGGGTTACTGCCTTTGCCCCTGTCATCCTAAGGCATAAGTTGACAAGTCTCCTGTGCTAGTAACATACCTGGGACATGCTGTTTCTGCTGTATTTATTAATGCCTTTAAAAATAAACTCTTCATGAAAAAGCGAAACAGGGACAATAAAATGAAATAAATTAAAAACTGTGTGAGGTAGACATAACAGCGACAGCTCCAAAGGTTTCAAGAAAGTTTTAATTAAATTTATCAAGAGTATGTATTCAGTCTGAATTTTAATCGTGTACTGTTCATATCATCTTTTTTTATCATATCAAGTGACGGGACGAACATGTCGTGCGCCTGATGGTAAGCTATACGCCTGTCCATAACAGTTGAGGTTCCACTCAGAGCTTTAAATCGCAAAGATCTGAGGGGCACTGCCACTGCGCCCGTCACCCTGAGACATAAGTTGATAAGTCCCATGTGCCTGTAATTTCACCAGACCTTTCAAAACCGGAATGCATTAATTAATTGCTGCTTGGCAGCAGAAATAGGTAAGGTGGCAGTACTTCCCTAGACAAACTCCTTCACAAGGACTTCCACTGCTACTAGAATCATCTTATTTATTTATTTTTTATAGCCCCGCACTAGGGAAACCCTGTGTCGCGCCATGGACGCACACATAGACAACCACAAATTACACCCAAACTCACGAGAGAAATAAATGTCGACCATACAAATATTTCTCCCAGCCCGAGAATCGAACCTGGGACCTGTGAGTGGCAGTTCGGCATGGTAACCGTTCGGCCACAGAGGCAGTCAAAAATCTTCATAATCTTAAAAACTTTTGTGGAATTATGAATTTTGAATTTTAATTTAACTCAATTCAATTCAATATTATCAATATTATTTTGACTTTCTATTTTATTATTTTGACATTTTAAAATTTTTCTTTTTATATTATTATGATTTTTTATTATTATGTGCTGGATCTCATTGAGTTAAATTGTTTCAAATGTTTATTTTTCAATTTTTCAATTTTTTTATATGTAATATGGAATGTAATATTCTGAAATAAATGATTATTATTATTATTATTATGACAAACTACCAGAGTGTTAGTTATTATGCCGACATATTTTGCAAACAATTACATTCATGACATATTTCTGACACGTAGTCCTTCTATGGAAGCTTGTAACAAATGTTATGAGCTTAAAATAGCAGTGTTTAAACGGTTTTGAGTGTAGTAAAAGTAGTCAAATAAAAGCTTAAAAATTATATTAAGAATATTTAATTTAGAAAATTGCGTCAAGTGAATTTTGCTTTATTTCAAACCTTTGAAACTCAAAATATACTTTGAAATCCTGAAGTCTTATTAAGGAGCTTTCAGTTAGATTCATTGAAGCCTCCGGTGACCAGCAGGCTAGCAGCTACTTCCTTCAATGAACAACCTTAGCCGTCCAAACAAACACAAGGACAAACAAGGGTAAACATTGCCTGCTAGTCATACTTAGTGTCTTGGATAATTTTTTATTGAAATTTTTGTTTCTCGTCTTATATTCAAAGCATATAAATATAGTATACCACTTTCTTTTTTAATGCCTCTAATAGGTAATTTAAGTACAACATAATTTCCTTAGTTTGTTTATCTTTTGCTTTGAAAGTCTGAACAAAACGACATCGCATCTGAAAATCGCATTATCAATCGATACAGGAACAAATCCAGATCCACAAGTGAAAACAGGGTAATTAATATATTGATCGGACTGGGGGGGATGTTATAAGACGCCGTATGCGCGCGCGCCGTCACTCCTCGCGCGACATTACCGCGCATGCGCCCGTCTCGCGCGTGAACTGTGACTGTTGCCCTACAACAAAATTATACATGGCTGCCAAAATTACCGTAAGTGTCAAAAAAGTGACGAGAAATGTGGTTTATTACTACGAGGATATCTAGATGGTTCCAGAAAAAAGTGTGACATTTAACTTGGAGTGTTCCGAGCCTACTGTGGAAAAGGGACTAAGTATTCTTTTTTGGTTTTAATCAAAAGGGTTTTTAAAGTTTTCAAACTCTTTCAGTGTTAAACTTGCGTCGATAAAGACTCAAGTGTAATTTCAATTAAAAATATAATTATCTAACTAATTAATTTATTATTTCAAGAGCATATTTGTAGTATCCAGTGTTTTTAATTATAAATGTTTTTAACAAAAAAATACCAAAATAAATAAAGGTTTATTTTGGCTGTCTCGAAGAAATTAGATTTTTGTTTTAGTCCCTTTTACACTGAAGGCTTGAATAAATAAGTGACTATGTGTTCTCGTGGTTCTAGACCACATTTCTAACCTATCTATTGTTATATAATACGTAATATTATGTTTAAGTCGCATGTTAATAACTCAAGCGTGACGTTGTGGTCAACCATTGACCGCTGAGTCTTTTTTTGACATATTTGCGGAAATAATCTTACTTAACATTATAACTTCGTGTTCCGATGTCTTTTTGAGATAAAAAATATTGAGTGGGTCAATTGGACTATTAAACTCAGTAATAAACTCTAATATTCAGAAATAAGGATAAAGCTTAAAATTCGAATGTACATAGAGCGCGTTTTTTTTTTACTATATTTTTAAAGGACGCTGCAGGCACTTTGAATGTGTAAAATCTTCGTTTTGTGTCTTCGTTAGGTAGTTTTTTTCTATAATCGATATTAAACTATATGACGCAATTATAACTGAATAATATTTATATAATTTGAGAAAAACGTAACTTATATTCAATAATGGAGCATTGCTTGCCCTTGCCCGGTAGGAGAACGGGGATGACGATTCAAATCCCAGCTGGGGCATGCGTCTATTTCTAAGTTACGTACATTGCGAATGGTTAGTAGCAATACTTCTCGCTAATGGTGAACGAAAACACCGTTATGAAACCATTGTAAAACGTGCGAACCCGCATTGGTTTAGCGTGGCGGACTACGGTCCAAAGTGTGTCCTTAGAGGAGACCCATGCCCTGTAGTGGGACGTAAAATTAGTTATTTAATTGGTGTGAAGATATTTAATCTTCTTCTTATCGGTGGCATACACTATACCATTCTGGCCCAGAACTCAGCCATGCCGACCTTGCCACCAGTAGCGGCCATTAAATCCACTAACTAAATCAAATATCCGTTTTAAATAGAAAAAAATTAGTACAAAATTATCTTTTAAAAGCAGTTAAAATTATCGAGTTCTTAGGTTTTCGCGATTGTTACACATAGGAAATGAAACTATTTTTCCGGATTTAAATCGCTTATATTTGTGAGGTGGTACAGTCTTCAACCAGTTAAGTCTAATATTAATGAAAACCACCCTATTTTTTCACTATAGTGACAATAGTTATTAATTAAATACCTTATTTTTAATTTTACAAAGAAAACATTCCAATTTACGCTACATTAAGTTTTACAAATTATTTTATTGAATGAATTTTTATTAAGTTTAATTTATTATTAAACGATATTATTACGAAACGTCGGTTTGTTTGAAAAAACAAATATACGCGATTTAAATCCGGAAAAATAGTTTCATTTCCTACAGTTAAAATTAGTTAACGTTGCATAGCTGAAATATCATTAAACAAATCAATATTCTAAAACTGGGTTATGGTATTTTATGATATCTCAAAAAGTTATTTTGCCACTTAGCCGCCTTTTGAGGTAGCGGATGGCAGTGTAGGTGTTAGGGCACGATATGAGATGAGCCATCGTTTGAATCGCACCACACAAACAGTTCAAATTGGAACCATTCGAAAATTCCCACCTAAACAAATTGTCCTTACTCCGACCAACCTGAGTCCGAAGTCTATTTAAAGACTTCCAGATCGGCCACGGCAATTGGTGTCCAGGAAGAAGAGTCTCAGAAAGCGGGACAAAGGTAGACGGCACTCTTTAGCGCCAAAGGTTGCACATTATCTGAGACGGTTCAGTGCTCTGAGGATCGACACATTTGACGAAACTTTTCTGGCTCCTCAGTCTCTGTCGCTTTTGATATTTAATAATGTTAACAGTAACAAATACATTCAAAATATTTTATAATTGACGCTGGGCCGGACTGGGAAACGAACATTTCTAAATTGGTTCTGGTCTGGGTGTTTTAGAAAGCGCCCCAGAGTGAATTTCTATGGTCTGGTACTCATAGGACAGGGAATTCCCTAGTTTGAGACCAGGCATTGGTGTGGTTAGCTGGCAATTTATTATTACTATTGAAGAGAAAAACCAGAAAATGTCGTCGTGCCCAGTAGGCTGGCATCGTTTCCTCGTTAGGGCTGAACTTATTCTTTGATAGATCTGCCACCTTTCCTGTCTGGTTCTGGGAGTATGAATTTCGAGAAATACATCTTAGAAAATTTTTTTTTACTGCATTATATTCGTCTGTGAAAAAAAATATTGCAGCAACCCGTTTACATATTAAAGAAATAAAACTTGTTCCTGTGCTTTTGTAATTTAGAAATTATATGAAAGGAAATGTAATAGAGGAGATTAGCGAGTAGGGTGTTGTTATTTAGAATACTGCGAACAAGCTTGGTTCCGCTTGAATTTATTGTTATTATATTAATAGTTTTTTTTAGCATCAATGTAATTATGAAAACCTAATGTTTAACACATTTATGTCGTAAATGAATTTCTATTAGTTTACACACTCATTGTATCTGTGATATTTGAAATAAATATTGTAAATGATAGAATATAAACAAATATCTATATAAAAAGATCAACCCAAAGTAGTTTCTTACTAGTTTTCCTCGTGTTTAACCATCTGACGATTTCAAGTAATTTGTTTAGCTATGAAAGATATTTTTCATTTTCATATTCTTTAGAAAAATATCGATACATTAAAATGAAAAGAAATGAAATAATAATAATGTACACACTCATAGACAACCACAAATTACACTGACTATCACGAGAAACGTGAATGTAGGCCTTCCAAATATTTCTCCCGGCCTGGGAATCGAACCCGAGATCTCTGCGTGGCTGTTCAGCATGGTAGTCGTTCGGTCATGGAGGCAGCTGTTTTTGTCTCATCACGAATAGGCTTAGGAGTAGAAGAACTAATAGAAGATAAGAAAATCGGGCATGCTGGTTTGTGAGAGACTGGTGCCCGAGATGGGTTTAGAAAAACCTGGATTACAGGTCACCAGGATTCCACTTTGCAGATGAGCAAAAATATTGATGACGCATTGTTCCTCTGGCTGTTATTTGTGTTTAAATTTCGGTGTTTTGCGATTTCAAATCATATTTCATTGAAGTTAGTCCAATTGTAGGTAACCTATAGGTTAGCTCTCACCTTTGTAGTCAGTGTTAGATGTACACATTCGTACAATAGGACTTAACTTAGTACATCTAGACATCTAGCCGGGTTAGGCAATACGAGTAATGCCTAGGTCTGCGCCGCTTAGAAAGGACAATCGTGGTCCGGGTCGTTCACCCCGCAGGGGCCTAATTTTAGTGTCAACTTGAGACCTGGAATTAGAGTTGTTTTTATTATTTAGTGCTCATTTTCAGCTAAACTCTGAAAATTACTTAGGTATTTTATTTATGCATATCTTTGGAATAAAATTGTCTTTTACACCCTAACGAGTTTGTTAAATACTTTCTAACTTAGTTAATGCAAGGCCATGAGTTTTTACTCCCCCTGAAATATCCCCTCACTAAAGAAGCGCTATTTTTGCATTGCTCTTATCTGTCCTGCAAGCATAAAAACAGAAATGACGAATTTT